GTCTTGAGCTCGTAGCGCGAACCACTTGGAGGATCCACCTTGGATGGCAACGATCTCTGATCGTCTCAAAAGAAAGAAGAATGCCAGGCACACTATTGAAACCAAGTAATTTATTGTTTCAGTTATTTATTTTACTAAAAGAGCGATGTCCTAACGATATTTAATTTTCGACTCTGCTTACAATTGATGTATATTGTTTTTTACAATCCTTGGGGGTCAAACGAACAAATACATTAATGAGAGCTTATGTAATGGCCATCAGCTCGATCCGAAAAATGACGAGGAGAGCGGTGCCCCCAAAGGGGCCATGTATATTGGCTCCACTAATGTAGCGTCAAATCCCCTGGTGGACCTGCCACCATGTTCGCTGAAAGCACTCCTTACAGATCCTGGTGTAGTCCTTGTACGCGTCGGAAACCCAGCGGCCGAGGAACTGGATTGTAAGTGCATATGTGTCAGATCGGTACATGTGCGTGGCTCCCCCGGCGCGTAGAGAAGGAGATCTGAACCGGCGGGGGTCTTGGCCAGTGCGAGCGGCAGTGCCTTTGATAGCTTCGGACACGTCTTCGGTCGATACGCAGGCTAGTTGTCCCCATACACAGCGGCTGGGATGTTTGTAGGTAGATTCATCCTAGCTTGATAAAGGATGAGAGCTCCGAACACGGGGCACATAAACTGGTGGCCAGAGCGACATAGTATCCTTGTCGCTGGAGCCCCACCTTGATTGGTCTTGGACCCGATCACGCGAATCCAAACATCCTGAGCCTGTGACAAACGCTGAGTCGGCTGTCCAGCAGTATCTACAACAACGATGTCTTGAGCTCGTAGCGCGAACCACTTGGAAGATCCACCTTGGATGGCAACGATCTCTGATCGTCTCAAAAGAAAGAAGAATGCCAGGCACACTACCCCCCCCCCCCCACACAGGGCTTGGTCACGGGTATATTGCATGGCCAGGGATCGAAAGCATGCTTCTAAGAGGTGGATTGACACGGGTTCCTTGCGGCGTCGGGGCGTGTCGAGACGGCTAATTCCTTTATGAAGCATGCGGATGTGCGGGTGCTCAATCGGGAACTCACATCGGAGGCGGCAAAGAAATGACGAACGCTAGGAGCATCGCCATGATGGAGTCGCTACGGATGGAGCCGCCGACTTCAAAGCCACACTGAAATCCATGTAAAACGAAATCCGATATGTGCTTCACCATGTGATTGAGAGTCATGTCATGAAGCCATGAAGAAAGTCATCGTCGCGCAGTCCATCCTTTGCACTTGTTGAAAGCTCGGTTGTATTGATCAAACGTAGAGTCGGCAACGGAGTGCGCGCGTTGAAATGCTGTTAGATAATGGCCAGGCAGATGTTGATGGTCGTAACCTGGTCATTTTTTAGCGCTAAAGGTTTGTCAGAGCTTGACAAAAAAAGTATTTAGCTCCGCGAAGGGAGTGCTAGCACAATGAAATTGAAAATATTACCTTACAAACGCTTGACAAACTCGCGGCTATGAAACATGTCGACAAAACTCCACGTACTGGCCTGGTATTCACCACGGCGCAGCATCTCGTGTAAAGTAGATTAACGTCCAATGTTGACAGCCACACATCTGCTTCTGTGAACATTTCAATCTCTGGAGCTGTATTTTCTTGCATCACTAATTAGTACTTCTCCGATTATGGATGGCTGCCCGCGAGATTCCTCTTCTCCTTCAAAGACCATCACTGGGGTGGCCCCGGAGGTGTCTATCGAGGTAAAAGCAATAAAATTTTCGGGATTTCTTGAGAGGATTCCAGCTCACTATTCTTGGTCATTTTCTAGTGCTTAGAAGTACTAAGGGAGGTTTCATGAAAATTCGCTTCGAAAATACCGATACCGATACCGCATCTTTCAGCTACCAAACTGACTTCAGTTATCGGCTTCAGGAAACTAACGAGATTTGAGCTATCCCAGCAGGGTTACAGACAACGACGGAGAAATCCGCCCCTATCTGAATAACATCCTCCATATAACCATCAGAGACAAAAAATCCACCCATTCGTCTAATTGGCTAAAACCCAGAGCTTCGGTACAGAACACAAACTCTTTTCATAAGATTAGTAAGAAGAAGATTTTATATTAGAGTTTTACAATGGGATTTTGTGGTATTACTTTTTTAAAACTTTTTACTATGACATCCGTCTTCAAATCATCCCAAGCCTTTATCGTTCTCGCAATGGTAGAGCGTCTCTTTTCGACTGCAGTTGTTTGGTGTAGCCATCTACGCTTCCCGGCGGCCTTCCTCTGCTCCTCCTGCGTTGTCACGTCAATGGCAACGTGTTGTGGCATCTCATCGATTTCGTTGATAATACACACGCACTCCTCGTTGCATAGCCATTCACCACCGAACAAGCACTGACACTGATCCCAACAGATGCAATCGTCTCCAAGCCCGCAACTTAGAGCAGCACACACACTCTCCTTGGCACTCGAACTTCTTTTTGCACGCGCAGCCTTCAACCAGCCCGCATTTAGCACACTTCCCTTCCTTTTTTGGTTTGCGGGTCTCGGCCACCCAGAGAGCCGTTATTTTTTTTTCTTGAGAGACCCCATGACCCCGACGTCCAAGGGTTGACAGACAGCAGTACTGTTGACGGGTAGCTGACAAACCAAAGTTGACGTCGCTTCAGCCACTACATCAATGCCTTTTTTTTGATACATGACAATCAAAGCTGTCCAGAATAAGAACTGATGGGGCGTCAATTTCGTAACGTAGCAGCTCGCAGATATTAACCGACCAAACGCTTGGGTCCATCTACCCATTTTCTTGAACTGTGTAGATATGCTCAGCTGAATACGTCGGCAACTCGTCTCTTTCGACTGAACCGCCGGGCATCGCGCGAATTATAAAAAGAATGGGAAGTCTTTTACCTAACAAAAAATAAATAAGCTAAAATTTAAATTGATTCAGATTTGTACAGTACAGCGTAAAAACTATCTTACCATCAGCACGAGCATGCCGTCAGTCGGTCCGAGTGCTTCTGCGTGCGTTTTACGCCGGCCGATCCTTTCCTTTCTCGCTCAGCCCAAATTTTGAGAGGTGGCATGTCAAAATAGACTGCGGTCTCGTCAACATTGTAGATAGCGCTCAGTGGAAATGATTCAAACTCATCCCAACTCTTTAGAGCAAACTGCCAGTGCGTTTCCACCATCGCATCTTCATTCTTCTTAGTGTGTTGAGGCTTCTGCGTAGTTAACCCGTAGCTAAAAAATGTTTTAGGAGAGTTAATTTAGTCAATATTAAAATTTAAAGTGAAAATATAACCGTGCTGTAAATCGCTGGCAGAGCCTCATTAGAGCGCTCAAAGCTTGTTTAAGGCTATCTTTAGTAGCAATATACTAGTGCAACCAATGTGGTTATTGTACTTTCATGTATTGAATCATGAGCCCTGTACATAAATACTAGTAAAAAACATAAATGGACATTAGACGATAGGATAACTCAAACCCGGCAACCATATGGCTCTCTTAATTCCTCCTCGCGCCGTACATCTTTCATAAACGTAATCAGGTCATGTGTAAAAGGTATAATGCCCTTAGCTCCTTGTCCTTTCAAAGTCTTGCTTGTGTGGTAACTGCTAAAGCTATCGATGCTTTCTTTATTGTCTACCCTGTCGCGCAACGTGCGACGGGGTATATTTAGCTGCTTCGCGGCTGGTAAAACACCGAGTTCTTTGGCTTTAGCGATAGCTTCTCGCTTTTTGAATACTAGGTATGAGCACTGAGGCGTCATTTTGCAAATGACGAGCGAAAATGCCTCTGCTGTGAAGGATCCAGTCAATGGAAAGAGCAAACTATTGGATAAAGCTTAGATGTATTCAGTAAATTCAGCAATGCTACTGATTAAAATATTTGACTTGAATACCGAACTTCAGCTTTTGATGGCGTGTTTTATAGTGTGGCGGATTTCTCTGTTGCAACGGCGGGTTTTTGAGTTTGTTCTCAGTCTCGTCTGATTCTCAATTCCCGGTGACCAATTCTCAGCGAATCGGTATTCACCGATTTGATACCGATAACCTAATTACTTTAAGCAAGAGAAAGCAGGACTTCTTCACAGCTTCTATGCGACTACTGCAAAGATACTGGTACAATAAAGCTCAAATGCCACTCAATTCTCAGCAGAACTAGGGATATGCCATCCCTGGTCCCAGCCTTTCAGTGTGTCGCAGTTAAATGCGCTGCAATTTGCAAGGCCAGCAAACAGCGACTGCGCATTATTAAATCTGGCACCATGTCCTTACTAAAGTCAAGTATAACGTACGGTAAGGATAGTATCTAGCGAAATACCTCGCTGTACGTAGTACTTTGAAGTATGTCTCAGGGAGCTTGACTATTACCACAATATGAGCTACTTGGGATTTGTAAGCCGACGGGTTTTCCCCATAAAGTACGAAATAGGGAGGAGGGGGTGAAAGTCGACTCGCTCGGCCATGCCTGCGGCTTAAGATCCGTGTGCGAAGCACGCGGTCCTAAACCCAGGACCAAGCATGGCTAAACCTCGCTCGGCCCTATAGGGTTAATGCCCAGGAAGCCCTGGTTTGCGTTTAGGAGGGTGATAGAATTCACGCCAAGTCCTCCACTTTTGGAGATTTGCAGTCTCATAACACCCATTCTTCCCCTTGTGGCAATAGTCTCTGCCTTAAAATTGACCCACGCACACTCAAACGATATTTGTATGAATAACTTACCTTATTTAAAATTGGACGAGTCAGGGCCACCAACGTTGGTGGCCGATCTAACCTGGCACGGAGTGTTGCACCACCAAAATGGAGCGTTAACCACTCTGGGGGACAACCTGACCAAAGTGATTACGGACTGTAATATCTGTGGCCAGGATGATTACCCTGTGAGTAACTGTCACTGTGACACTTCGTGACCTGTGAAATGTATGAATTGATGTCCTAATAATCGTTTCATTCGGTAATCTTCATAGTACCTGTACTTTCAAGACGCACAAGTGAAAACGCAGTATGCGCCAGCTTACTGTTTTTCTTGGGGCTGTTATTATCATCTTTACAGGTACCAACGCAGTTGCAGCAGCTAAAACCGACCGAGTGACAAAACTGAGGTCGCCTATCGACGTGACCCCACCCCTTGGTAAAAACACGAACGACATCAGATTCCTTCGCTCGCATAAGGATGACTATGACAACCAAGAGAGAGCAAACGACTTTTTCAAACTTCCTCGAGGTGTTAATTTGACTGCCGCCAAGAAAATCGAAAGGGAGTGGCACGCAATGCCGACAGGTATAAAGCCATGGTAAGAGTTGAGAGCTGTAAATCCCTCCTAGACGCACACACAGAGTAGGAAGAACAGACACACACTGAGCGGCAAAAGCCACCTTTAGCCACTGGGTATATTAGCAGCAAATTCTCAACTGCAAATTCTCAACTGAGCCCCCTCGCTCCAATCCTTCTCACTGTGCCCATTGTCTCACACAATACAAGCTTCAAGTGCCATAGTGTAGATCAGAATAATTCGCAATAGCCCCACCTACTGATCCACAACTATCACCTCACACTCTGAGACTTCGTGACCTTCATCAATACAACCCTCAATCATTCTCTCTTTCTTTGGCTCAGCTCAACAGCTCGGAAAACGCTTCTTACCAAGGCTGTTAGGAACTTAGTTTGAGGTATTCATAATAAGTCAGCACCACTCTCAACATGTACAGCACGTTCAACCCCCATGTAGGTGGCCTGCTGACATTTCTCTCTTTTCATCCACTCACGCTTATTATGGCCCCACCAGTTCGACCATCTCTCTCAACACGCACCATTGGCTTCACAGCTCAATATGCCTCATCATCATGGGATATGCACCAACCATCTCTCTTCTCAACTTCTTTACAGTTCCATCTTGTCTGCCATATACTCGCTGTTGTATTATCCCCAGTCTTCGTTGTTGCCGGCAACATCTTCAGCACAACTCACGCAGCCCCACCAGCTCAACACTCTTTCTCAATCTCATCAAAACTCTCAAATCGCAAAAATTGGCCTCACCAGCTCACTATGCCTCATCTCACTTCAATTGGCATTTGAGTTGAGACTCTTTTTTTGTGCCTTCTCACTGCTTAACGCGTTCAACCACATCTCTTTGTGGTCCGCTAGCAACTCCCACAACATGAGCCCAAGCCAAACACGAAAAGCTCTTCGTCTAGAGGCTGTTAGGCACTCCACTCGAGGCCATCACGCTTGCTTACTCACTGTTGTTCTACTCAGTGCGTTCAACCACATCGTAGCCCGCTGGTACACTCTTACACCCACATACACAAGTACCTCACTGCCCAACAACCAGCTTCGCAACGCCTCTCTATTCTTCTGCTGCATCTCCCTGTCGTCTCCCATCTCATCGTTCTTCATGTCCTTCTCATTCTTTTCTTGGTCGCTGCTCATCATCCAAACCTCAAAGCTCTCTCCATTAAACGGCTGGTGCATGATCTTATCCTCTTTTGCCGTCTTCATCTTATTCTACTCTTCTCCATCTTTACTAGCAGTGCTCATTACGACTAATTAAGTGTCGTCTTCCACGTTGCGGCCGTTGGGCTCATAACCAGTTGAGAACTGTAAATCCCTCCTCGACGCACACGCAGAGTAGGAAGAACAGACACACACTGGGCGGCAAAAGCCACCTTTAGCCACTGGGTATATTAGCAGCAAATTCTCAACTGCAAATTCTCAACTGAGCCCCCTCGCCTCACTGTACCCATTGTCACACACAATACAAACTTCAAGTGCCATAGTGTAGATCAGTATAATTCGCAACAGTAAGCAACGACGACGAGCTCTTCAAGGCATTCGCAGTTTGGAAGAGTATGGGTTATAGAAAGCGTGATGTCGCGTGGGCAATCCTACAGTTTCACAAAAATCCTTTCGATATTGCTTCGCTTGTGGTGCGCTACCACAACTTCCACAACCCCCCCCCCCCAGCATTCGAGCGGATTAGCCGGGACGGCGTCCTAGCTGTTACTTTTTGTCCTAAAAACAACGTTAAGTACGAAACATTTAAGGACGTATTATTCCACCCTATGACACTTAGACATGAACAGTGATCGACGATACCATGCGCTGAGCAGAATTTGAATGAGATTTACGGAACCGACTAACCCTGCATGCTTTACTCTACACTTGATGACTTTGCGCCGAAAAAATCGAGTACCACAGTAGTACTTTAATAGTAATACATGTACTGTAGTAAGAAATAGCACTGTAAATGTAGAATCACTAACGGCACCAATGAAGAGCATGGTGCGTTGATACAGAGACAAGCTGTGTACTACTTTAATATTATACGCACTTCACAAATACGAAACTTGTAGAAGCTCTTATTGCAACTTCACTACTATTTCGCAGAGCATTTCAAGTAGAGTTTCGTTGGTTCTGTGAATAAGTAGATCTACCACCCGAGCAACATAATCATTTTTACTCACATGGTTCTGACTGTCTTCAACACATTGTCTTGTTGAAAGCTTCGGTCTCCACTTCGCATCAGTGTCGCGTTATTGATAAGGGTCGTTTTTGATGGTGACAAATAAAAGTGTAATCGGTAAGACACCAATGAAGTTCACTTGCCCATTCAGCAGCAGCAAGTACTAGCCTCAAGCTGGAGACAAGTGAATGGTATCCAAATACGTAGCGAATGACCTGGTGAGCATCGTTCTCAATAAAAATCCAGAGCTTTAGTGCTTCACCAAAATGTAACTTAAAGCTGAAACTTCTAGATGCTATTTTTGGCAATGCCGCGTAGACAGACACAGCACTAAAAATTAGCATCTAGAAGGCAACTATTGAAGACGAGTCATGCCCGTGGACCGCAACCGTCCTGCTGGAATTCCATCTCGAGCGATCGACCGACCCCATGCAGTGAAGAAGCCGTCGGGACTGAACGTCACACGCTTTATCGCTCGCGAGGAAGAGCTACACCAGGCACGGAAATACACCTATAACAACGAAACTAACGCGAGTAGAGCTCTTTGGGAAGAAAAGCAAAATCGCCTATCGGGCAGTGGTGCTCGTACCCAGCAGAACAAACGGTTCGTGGATAATACATGAATGTCTGCCGAGGCTATTTAGTTTAATATATGGCCTTTAATACTTTTTTGCATTGTAGTCTTAATGAAGAGCGAGAGTTGTTGGACAAAGAGGTACTCAAGATCCGACAAGCGCGACTCCAAAAGTACTATGAAACCTGCTACCAAGAGTACGTATCAGTATTTTTTAAATGTATTTTGCTTACTGTTATGTTGCAATATGTAGATGGGAGCAAGAGCTGCGAGCTCGAGGTCTAGCGCTTGTACGTGATCGAGACTAGATTACTTAAGGGGGAAACCATCAACGAGAATTTGACTTTCAAGATGATATTTTATTATTAACCGTATCATCAGCTTCGCTGTCCTTGCATCATACGACACCTTCATCCTCCGGTACGCGTTCCTCAGCAATATCTGTAGACTTGCAATTTTCTTCAGATAAGCCTTCAGAGTCCACTGCAGACGGAATGACGACATAGTGTGATGGGACTGTTTCGGACGGGTATACTAGCAGCAAGTACAGCAGCAGCGTCATATATAACCCAGCCACGACGACCAGACCAATCCAAGCTGCCGTTGATAACTTTTCCGGGAGGTTCTTGATGAGAATATCGTAGACGAGCGTGTAATTCACGCCACAAAGCAACGCCGTGCCCACGACGAGTAGAGCTCCAATCCACCTATTATTTACAAAAAGTAGCCCCATCAGCCTCGTGCTTGTGGTAAATGCGAGCAACGGCAGAAGTGCGAAAAGCAACTGAACACTCTGGAGTACATTAAGGAGCTCGTTAAAGCGGTCGCTCTGGAATTGTCGATCTTGACTGATAAGCGCCACGAGAATCGCTGGGATCAATGCCACTCCTCGCGTAAGCGCCACACGCTTCCAAGCTGCAATCCGGATATCCAAAAATCCCTCCATGACGAACTGACCAGCGTAAGTACCAGTCATGGTCGAAGCCTGACCTGACGCAAGTAAGCCAATGGCCCACACTACCTTCGCATACCCACCAAGTGCTTCACGTACTGCCTCGCCAGCCTGTGCTAGACCAATCTCTTGGCAATATCCAGCTGTCGGCCCCAGCCCAAACGATACCGTATCAAACCTATCTCCACGTCCATCCACGTAACACGGTGTGCATTTTGTCACTGTATTGATAATATCCGCGGTCATATCCCCTTTAAACACACTCTCGCCACCAAACACACAGACATTGCCCGTGAAAGCATCGTAAATCGTACTCCCCGAGCTCAACGCTGCCTTTGCTGGAATACACGACGTCTGGATATCTCTCCCATACAAACTCGAAATAGGATTACTACTGAGCGCATAACACTGGCTGCTGAAGAAGCTGCTGGCAAAGGCACAAACCACCGCCGCGTTGATTAAGAAGCTGACGAACAGCGCCATGCTGCTTCCAATCCGAAATAGTAGTTGGCTTCCTTTACTTTTGTCGGAGATCTCGTATTAATTGTCCTCTCTTGGACCAATGCTGAGTGAAGAAAAATATTATGTGGCATGATGATGGCCCCCAGCATCGCTACCGCCTGCATGGTGTTCTGTTTGTCCATTCTGGGCTCTACTATCCCATTTATAATCTCTATTCCGTCTGGATCACTCATGGTGAAGTCGGCGAAGAAGCAGACGCACATGGTGGCGATGAGCAGCAAGAAGAACATCTCGATATATCGAGTTTTGAAGTCTCCCGCTCGGTGTAGGGCCAGGAAGGTGAAGGTATCGAGTCCTGTAAGCAGACAACCGAGCCATAGAGGTAACCCAAATAGAAGCTTGAAGGCTACAGCCGATCCCAGTACCTCCTGGATGTCGCTGCCGATGATGGCGAGCTCCGTCATGATCCAGAGTCCGAAAGAGACGAGTGGTGGATACTCGGAGCGACATAATTGAGCCAAGTGACGACCGGTACAGGCCCCCAATCTGGCAGCTAAGATCTGGTAGAGGCCTCCGAACATGGCGCTGAGTAGAACAACGTAGAGCAATTGGTAGCGTGTGTAGGCCCCACTTTGTAGATCTGCTTCGAGGTTTCCAGGGTCCAAGTAGGCCATGCTCATGAGCCAACCGGGGCCAGTGTACGACCAGAAGACGGACCAGGAGAAGCGTGGGCGATGTGGGTTTGCAGAGGGGTCGGTGGAGCCAGGAGGTAGAGCCTCGAGCGCGTGCTCGGAGCTGGCCATCATGACTCTGATTGGGTTATGGCAAAGACTGTGGTTGAAGCTTTGATCTTCTAAACAGGAATGTTTTATTTCTATAAAGGTATAGTACTGATGTACAATACCTTTATGTCGTGATAAGATGTGGTTTTTTTATTAAACGGAAAAAGGTAACCTTCGCTTTAGTAATACGATAGCCATTGATTACACTAAATAGTCATATCGTGTCATGAACCAATCGACATAAGACAGCCGATGTCATTGGCCGAGTGCGGGTGCAAGTGTCCAACGCAATGAAAGCATAGGCTGGGTTCATTCAAGAGTATTTGCGAAAGGTGCTAAAAACACTTGGACGTACAACTCCCTGAAATTTATATCAGAGCTAGCATCCTGAAAATTTATTTAATAAAACCTGGTAATATATTAGCTCAGCGAATTATCAAAACAAAAAGGCTCAATTCAAAATAGGTGTTTCAAAATATATCATTTAGGGCGTCTCCATCGCGGGAGCAAAATGCTGCTGTGGCAGAAAACTAAAAATAAATTACCGCGGTCTCGCTCCACCGCGGTTTCCAAGGGATGGGTTTGGCTTCCTATATACACCATTTTACCAGTGTGTCCACGTACCTTCACGCAGTAGCTTAACCTCATTTAACAGGCCTAAGGCGTAGCCGCTTAGTTCCTTCAAGCTACATAGGCAAACATGATCGCTTTATATCGTCGGCAATATAGTTCCAGAAAATCTTACTATATAAACAAGATCATGTATCAGATTACTTACTATAAATTTTTTTAACTTACTTCAAATTCAAATTTTTTTAGATCACTGATTTGGTACCATTTTTAATAAGTGCTTGTTTTTTCCCGATGTTCGTTATCGTACAGTTCTGCACCCTGTTTTCGCCGGGGTGGACCATATAGGATTTGCAAATAAATCAGACTCTAGCATACGAATGGTTGTTGATTTGGATTCAGGATCATCACATTCGGAAATTTATTAAAGGTCCAGGGGCGCGAAAACGGTATGTAGTACTGTACTTCCTTTGATTTTCTAATCCCCTCTCACGATTTTTGAGATAATACTTCCTTTGGGCCCGCGTGATCGCTATTGGGTGAGTAAGCCTGACTTATTCCTTTTAGCGCTTAGTATATATTACTATACAGTACTATTTAGACTAATAGTTTTTTCAGTATCGACTATTGGTTTTAGTAATCTGACATTCTGTTAGTCTTATAAGATTTAAGAGGTCAGTAAAGTACATGCTCGACTACTGATAATCAGTAGGGAACTGTATTACGTAGCTGATGTCAGCATACTGTATACGTCTTGTCTTGTCTTGACCGATGCATACCGGTTAGTGATGGGGGCGTAAAAAATGTAAATAGGTCCGGTCCGAAATACCCCTTACGTGAAGTTAACGTTATCAAGACATCATCACGTGATTTAAACAAATCCCTTCGTTTTGATTAAAACAAAAGCCAGCGGCTGACGGACACGAGGCGAGTGTTTGATGCCGCCACTTGAAGTATTGCGTACAAGTACTCCTTCTGACTTCAGTACTCAATTTCAGCAGCCTGTACGACACTGTGAACAGTGCTTTCGTCGAGTCCACCGTCCTGGGCGAATCTCATCTCCCCCGCCGCGTCGATCGCAGTTTCTCTATCTGATCTAGGGCTCGAGAGCGTACTGTCAAGACATCCTACTACGAGAGAATTTCTACGTTCCAGTGCTGGTGAACACGACTTCAATCTGTCGTCAAGTGTTATCCGTACGCTGTGTTGCTGAGTGTGTCACCATGGAAGATAACACACCGTCAACCCCGCCTTCTCCGTCGCCTCCCCCTCCTCTTTTCAAGCTGCCTCGCGTACACAAGGAAGAGTACTGGACGTTTATAATGCTCGTGGCTCCAAGTGCTCAGTTGCCCGCTGGGAAAGCAAAGTGAGCATTATAGGATGCAGAACTGGCATATTGCCTGAAATGCAGAATCATGTTTAACTTTAGAGCTGGCAGTAGTGCTAGCGTCCGAAAGCACATGAACCAAAATCACCCAGAAGAGCTTGTCAGGATAGGGCAAGCGGAGGCTGCAAGAAGGGTTAATAACGCGCTGGCTGGTACAAGTAAGCGGACATCTGGTGCAGTGATTTTCTCTCCTACCAAACGAACAAAGCGGGTCGACCGAGCAGAAGAAGAAATGGCTACACGAGCCTTTTTTGACTAGATTGCCAAGCGACTGCGTCCATTGAGCGTCGCGGAAGACAAAGAACTTCGATTTTTTGAGACCTTGATTCAAACCATCAACGGTATTTACGAGATACCTTCCCGTCGCACAATTACGGAGCGTATGCAGGGTCACTCTCAATATATGAGGTGGTAGGAGAGAATGCGTCCTACTAGGTGTCCTAAAGTGTCCTATTGTCCTAAAACCTGGGATAAAAAACTAGCAATCGGTTCATAAACGATCCAATATTTAGGACACCACAATGTGCTTTAGGACGAAACAAGCCAGGCTCCGTGTGTCCTAATAGGACACTCAACAACTCGACACTTATTATGTCCTATTAGGACACACAGCAACTCAGACTACTGTCCTATTAGGACAACATCAAACCCAACATGCACTGTCCTATTAGGACAGCGTTACTAGTTTTCTACTGTCTTATCAATATAATTCAATTATTCATCTATAATTCACAAGAGCATTTACACATGGGAATATTGTATTAGTAGGTTCTATCTGCATCTACTCAAACCTTTTGTAGTCTTCAGGAATCTCCAGTGTCGCTGGTGGGGCATGCTGAGGGGCTTTCTGGCGGAGGTGTTTGATATCCTCGATACGCTGGATATAGCGTGCAGCCTCACGCTTGGTGCCTTCAATAAAGGCTAAAAGGCCAGGATGTACACCCATTCGGGACGCAAAGTCACGATTGTACTTCTCCAATGGATTGTTGGTACGGTTGATCACATCAACCCCAACACGCATCATCTCCTGAACATTCCACGTCGTAACGTCATACCTTTCCATCCAAGTCTTCAAAAAATACTTCCAGAATGCATTCCACTTTGTCTTTGCTCCAGTTTCGTCGACAATACTGCGAACGTATCTAACACCCTAATAAAGTGCAAAAAAGTGAGATCCAAAAAATATTAGCATAAAAAAGGTCAGATTCAAGTTGTAAATAGGTATGATCAAAATAAAATAGTCCTTTCCTTTTTTGAAATTTGGTCCACAGGGATGACAGCAAGCGTGTCAAGTTTTCCGGGACTGAGCGCGCTCTTTATTTGGCAGTCTGGAATGCGTAGATCGACCATTTTTCGGCGTAGTGCCTGTTTCCAGTGAAACAGGCACCCTACGAGGTTGGCACGGGGAAACTGCTCCAAAACTGCGTTAATTAACGCCACTTCGAAGTCACACGTGACGTTTTCAGGCTCCAACTGTCTGTTGCTCAAAATGATGAGCTCATTTAGCACCCGCCAGTACATATCTTGCGACTTACCTTGAGCCAAAACGTAGCAAATGGGTACGTAGAGATTGACGGCAGGCTCAAACGCCATCACAATCAAGCATTGGTTGAAAGGTTTGGGTACCACCGAAAAGGTGCCGTCTATGAAAAGGGTAATCTTCGGATACCGCAGTATCAGACCCAAATCAGGGTGCCCAAAACCGATCATGCGATGGATTCCGGTGGTCGTCTGTGTGGGGTACGCCACACTAAACTGTAGAAAGGACCCGGGGTCCTTGTCGCTTACACAGCGTACTGATTGAGAAAGTATGGCCTCGTACACATCACCGCCCGTACACTCCTTGCGTGTCTGCTTCACTATAGAGACGGCAGGTGCGCATGGAATGATAGTGAGCGTGGCGTCGTCGGCAGCATGGCGGCGCTTGATCCCGTCGTACACCTCTTGCCAGACAACTGGTGGAGGGGTAGCCATGTTGCTGACGCTGCGTCGCTGTAGCTCTAGGCGCATTTCGCTGAAGTGTCCTATTGTCCTAAAACCTGGGATAAAAAATAGCAATCGGTTCATAAACGATCCAATATTTAGGACACCACAATGTGCTTTAGGACGAAACAAGCCAGGCTCCGTGTGTCCTAATAGGACACTCAACAACTCGACACTTATTATGTCCTATTAGGACACACAGCAACTCAGACTACTGTCCTATTAGGACAACATCAAACCCAACATGCACTGTCCTATTAGGACAGCGTTACTAGTTTTCTACTGTCTTATCAATATAATTCAATTATTCATCTATAATTCACAAGAGCATTTACACATGGGAATATTGTATTAGTAGGTTCTATCTGCATCTACTCAAACCTTTTGTAGTCTTCAGGAATCTCCAGTGTCGCTGGTGGGGCATGCTGAGGGGCTTTCTGGCGGAGGTGTTTGATATCCTCGATACGCTGGATATAGCGTGCAGCCTCACGCTTGGTGCCTTCAATAAAGGCTAAAAGGCCAGGATGTACACCCATTCGGGACGCAAAGTCACGATTGTACTTCTCCAATGGATTGTTGGTACGGTTGATCACATCAACCCCAACACGCATCATCTCCTGAACATTCCACGTCGTAACGTCATACCTTTCCATCCAAGTCTTCAAAAAATACTTCCAGAATGCATTCCACTTTGTCTTTGCTCCAGTTTCGTCGACAATACTGCGAACGTATCTAACACCCTAATAAAGTGCAAAAAAGTGAGATCCAAAAAATATTAGCATAAAAAAGGTCAGATTCAAGTTGTAAATAGGTATGATCAAAATAAAATAGTCCTTTCCTTTTTTGAAATTTGGTCCACAGGGATGACAGCAAGCGTGTCAAGTTTTCCGGGACTGAGCGCGCTCTTTATTTGGCAGTCTGGAATGCGTAGATCGACCATTTTTCGGCGTAGTGCCTGTTTCCAGTGAAACAGGCACCCTACGAGGTTGGCACGGGGAAACTGCTCCAAAACTGCGTTAATTAACGCCACTTCGAAGTCACACGTGACGTTTTCAGGCTCCAACTGTCTGTTGCTCAAAAT